TCAAACCTGAGGATCCTGATCAAATAGGAAAATAAAGATGCATTTCTTCAACTCTCCTTAAAGGAAGGAAACATTTAGTTTCCTCACGTCAAGAGAAAAATCACTATAATTTAATCTAACTATTGTATTTCTTTAATGAGCTTTAATCTATTTCTTTCTAATTATTATTATTCACTATTATCAGTGACCTCTTTTCTGTTTCTTCCTTCCTGCCTCCTCGTTTCTCTTTCTCCTCTGCAGTCTTTTTCAACCTATTTGTCTTTGTGTCATCTCACACACACACACACGCTCGCTCGCAGCCTTGACTGAGTCTCTCATCTGGTGCCTCGTTGCCGTGGTGACGCTGTGCTTTGCGGCAGCATCACGTGCCGAACGGAGACGAGTCATTGGTATTCAGGAGACGACGCCCTCAAATACCACAGAGATAGATAGATAGATAGATAAATAGTCTTTATTTCTAAATGTAGGATATTAGATTTGTTAGTGAATATTAGATTAAATCCTGATTAATTGATGAATCGTTTAGTCGAACAGTAATTGCAGTAAATTGTGAAAATGTCCGTTTTAAGTCCAACGTCTTCAAATGTTCACTTGTCTTTCCTGATCAATTGTCTTAGAGGGACTGTGATAATCAATCAACTGATGGTTTCAATGATTAGTCCCCTGTGTGCTGTCTGAGCTGTGGAGCCATCAGAGTGAGATCCAGAACATACATCATTATTTAAGTGCTTATAAAGTTTGATTTTACTGGTTTATATAATGTTGGTTTTCAATTATGTTTGTCAGTTTAAACCTCCTCAGTCTGACTCTGTGTGTGTGTGTGGTCGGACTGACTCAGTATCAGTGGGAGGACGACAACATGAATGAAGAGTCAGAATAAGATTTTCCTCCAGCAGCCAATAATAACGAAAACAAAGGTTTTCTATACTGCCTCCTTATAAGTAAGTTCCTGTGTTCTACAGGAAGCTCAGAGGTTCATACATACATGTACATGTCGGACTTTTATTTTGATAGAAAAACTTCCACAAATGGAGCTGGTTCAGACTTTTTTGAAGGCATAAAATTTGATTCTCAGCCTTCCATCATTCCCAGT